GACAGACTTCTCGCTCTTTTGCTGGGGCTGAGATACAGACAGGTAGTAACTGCGAGGCGAGTGCGACTCCTCGTTATTACGTTTTGGGTCTTCGGCATTCTCAATGCAGCAGTAGTATTTTATAGTCATCCTCTTGCTCGTGGCATCGCTGTTGCAGTGATGTTGTTATGCATAACTATCTCCTCTTTCTGCTACACCAAAATTTATCGCACCCTTCGTCTTTCTCAAGCCCAAGTGCAAGATCAAGCTCACCAAGGACAACAAAATGGAGAAGGAATTCAACTGAACAAAGCGAGATACAAAAAGACAGTGTCAACAGCTCTGTGGGTACAAATGGCATTATTGGTTTGTTATCTCCCTTATGGTTTAGTTGCTGGTTTTATTTCTATCAGTGGATTGATTACACCTTTCCTTAACTTCACTAGGGCTTTTGCGATATCTCTGTTGTTATTTAATTCGACTCTAAACCCATTCCTGTATTGTTGGAAGATGAGGGAAATAAGACAGGCCATGAAACACACGGTCAGACAGTTTTGTCGTTTCCCTACTCAGGAAACCTAGACTAAGTAAGATAAGGCCCCTGTTTAGTCTTGTATTTGAAGGAAATGATAATCGGTGAGACAAAGTTATTCCGTTGCAAAATAAAATGTTTGTGTAATTGTGTAAACTCAAATTATGACATTTAGAAATCTGTTTTTAGCGTATCAGACGGACCTTAAGAAAGAGTGCGGGACCGAGGAAGGAACAGGAAAACAAAAACATGAATGTGAAAAAGTGATACGCAACAAATAAGGAGGAACAGAGAATCTGCGAAACGCACTGAAATGAGCTTTCGGAATAATGAATGAAGGAAACCAAAGCTGTATTCGTTTGGGAAAGACGAGCACCCTTTATTTCATACAGTAGGTAGTGGTACCCTAAAGAACATGCTTATGATGAACCTGCCAAGAGCATGTCAAATTTTTTGTGTGTTAACCTTAAGCATGTTTGGAATACCGCGTGTAATAAATTATATCTCAGTCTTGCCTTGAATTTATTTACTGAAGACACTCATGATGATGTATCATATACTGAGTTCTTTAGTTTAGAATGTGATAGATGTAAAACAGGGAAAAACTAGAACTTAAACCAGAACGATTGTTTAGAACTATTTAGCGCCTTTCACTTGCTACACTTCCAAATCATTCCATTCTGTTTTTTTACCAATCACACTTTAATTCTAAAAATACTTATTGGTGTCGTTGGTAAGCTCTGTCAAAGAAGTTATAATTGAAATAACTTCCTCCCTAATAACCTTCCCAGGTGTTTACATCTCTCTGAGTCGTTGTCAGCTCAATGATCCAGTTTTCAATAATTTAAGACATGCAAAGTGTAATTTGTGTTTATGGCATCATAGCCGCTTGGCTGCAAAACAAGAAGTTTCCCATTCATGCCTTGAAAAAGGGGATTCTATCAATTCCCTTAATTTGCTAACCAATCAAACTCTCCATGAAAATAAAGGAGGGGAAACAGTTTTAAGGACACAGCACCCCGCTATTATTTGATCATTTTATTTGGTGTAGGATCATAAAATAATTAGGGCGGGAGTTCTTCTATTTTCAATTTCTTTCTTTATATACATCAAGAAACGTACAGCTAAGAAGATAACTGAAAGTTTCGCCCTTGTCATAATGCATGCATCATTTACATCGGTTAACTCTTTCTGACGTGTGGCACTCAATGATAGTAGAAACCTTCAAGCGCACCTGACATCAAAATTTTTGTACATCATTTTTTTCATTTTCGTGTTCAGTATGTCTCCTCCACCTACTCTGCCGAATTCCATTGTAGACTGGGCACTAGAAGTATCTTTTTTCGAGCTGTTAAATTCGCGATTTCGCGTCCGCCATTATTTGACCATGTTCCGGAAGTTGAACGCAGGACTCAGAGGATGTGACGTCAAAGGCTCAACGCGAAAATCTGACAGGGCAAAATGTCAAGCAAACATAACAGAGTGCTTTACTCTATTCTTACAAAAACATATAGAAACATGAC